AAAAATGTAGGTATCTTTGATTTTGATAGATGAAAATTTTTATTTTCAATATAGATAATACTGATAATTGTATGTCATTGTTATGCAAGGTTAAAGAGATGCAATTTTATTTCGTAATCGCGATCGTAGTAAATGTGATTGTGGTAAAAGTGGTCGTGGGTAAAACGATTTTCCGAACAAATATATCTACTAAACTAGGTTGCATGGAAACTCCATCCAAGGTTTGTTTTCCGTTTCGAAAACGTTTCAGAAATAAAAACGCGATGGAAACGCGGAGAAACGCGATAGAAACACGTTTCTTAAATATTCCAATTTGGAAACGTGTTTCCAAAATTGGAAACGCGGCCGGAAACGCCTTTCCAATTTGTAAACGTGACTTTTGGTTTTGGAAGTAAATTGAATAAATACTTTGAAAATATAGGGATTTGTTTGTCGTTTTTAATAAGTTTTAAACCTAATAATTATACACTAATACAATCTTTTTTCTCTAATCATCACCGTAACCTAAAAAGGTAGAAGAATCGAAAAGATAAACAAGTTATTTTTTCCAGTTACAGTAGATTTGTTATTGATTATTGAAATCATGAAGTCGTTACATAAACGAAGTATTTTTTTGTTCGAGTTGGATTGGATTTGTGTTGTTTCAAATATTTTAAAACCATTGATATATTTTGTTTCATGATATATATATATACACGTTTTCAAAACGTTTCCGTTTCCTCTTTTTTAAAGAAAAATCGTTTCCTAACGTTTCGCTTCCACATTTCCGTTTCCGATTCCATGCAGTTTAGCTACTAAATTGAAGTGGAAGATTCAATTTTTATCAAGTCTCATTTATTGTGATTTTATATTTACAGTTAGTGTAATCTATTCTCGAGATCCATATGAATGTAATTATTCTATACAAAATTATGTTTCACAATGAAACTCGGGCTTGAAAAAGTTTTCCTAACCATGCTTTGTAACTTTGATTCTGTATAGCTTGTTCTGTTACAGATGATCATGATTTCCCTCCAAAGTACAGAGACTATATTTATTGTAAACAATAAAACACACTAAACAACCCCACTCCAAATTCTACACCAAAATGAATTTTGGAATAAAATTATATCAAACCCCACTCCAAATCTCACTCCAAAATAGAATAAAAGGAAAATTTACTCAAAATATGAAGTAATCTTATTTATCACTCCATTTTTTTTGTTCTTCACTATATATTTTACTCCAAAATAGAATAGAGTTGGAGTAAAATAGAATTATATTTTAGAATCATTCTATTTTAGAGTAAAAAATGGAATTTTGGGTTGGAGATTGTCTAATTGTTTTACTACAATTATTCTATAGACTACCCTTAGTGAGTTCAATCATAATCAGTATCACATGATGGCTTTCTTATGCTTTAATAAGAACTCTTTAATCGTTGAGACATGTTGACCGTTAATAAAATCGAGCAGCCTTGACGGACCAAGCATTAAATTTTTGTTTATGGCAATCTTGACAAATTTCCCTTAAATTTTTTTTTATATCACTATTACTATCTAAAAATATAAAAATTACAAAAATCTTGTTACATTTTCTTTTTTCGGGTCAAAGCACGCCTTCTTTGATGTCACTTGAAGACAAATTTAAACAGAAAATTAAAAAGTATTTGCACGTGTGTAGAATTTGCACGTCCCGAACACTAGTTTTTTTTTTAAACTTCTTGAACACTAGTTTCGT